CAATTCAATTTAAAAAATGGGCAAAGGGGCCGTGGATTTAGCTTAGTGGTTTCGCTGCCTGCTGCACAAGCGCAAGGACCTGAGTTCAATCCCCAGTATCCCTGGTACCAAAAAAAAAAAAAAAAATGGGCAAAGGATTTGAATACATATTTCTCCATACAAGATAGACAGCTGACCAATAAGCACATGAAAAGATGTTCAGTGGCATTAGTCTTTAGGAAAATGCAAATAAAAATTCATTAGATACTACATGGCTGTATATATTTATGTTTTGAATTTTTTATTTTTATTAGTATATCTTTTCAGTACATAATGATTACATTCATTGTGGGGAAATGATACGTACACATAACACATCTAAATTCTTTTTTTTTCCTATCCCCTCCATGCTCCCTTTTTTGGCCAGCATCAGATTCACTTATTTATCTTATAAGTCCTTGTAAAGTTAATTACATACATACAGATTTTAACAGCCAGACTAACAGGCCAAAAAACATGTAAACACTTAAGACAATTATCTAAAATCAACAGCATAGTTTTAGGTACATTGTCCATGATGAATTACATTTTTTCTTCTTGTCTGTCTTTTATTTTGTACTTTATTTGTATATTGAGTATCTCATATAAGACAAGCCAAGTGATATTTAAGCTTGTATGTCTGATTTACTTAACGTTATGGTATTATAGTCTCAAGGTGGATCCATTTTTGGCTATAGGTATATTTTTTTTAAAAGGACAATAACAAGGGGCCAGGGATTTAGCTCAGTGGCTCTGCTGCCTGCCTTGCAAGTGCAAGGTCCCAAGTTCAATCCCCAGTACCAAAAAAAAACAGGACAATAACAAATATTGGTGAGTATGTGGAGAAACTGGAATCCTTATACATTGCTGAAATGTAAAATGGTGCAGCTACTGTGGAAAATATCCTAGCAGTTTCTCAAAAAGCTAAACAGGGCTGGGGATTAGCTTAGTAGTAGAGTGTTTGTTTAACATGTAAGAGGCCCTTGGTTCACTGCTCAGCACTGGGAAAAAAAAAAGTTAAACATATGATTTCCTTGTAACCCAGCAATTGCATATCTAGGGATATACTCAAGGGAGTCAAAACATATATTCACACACATACACTCACACACATGATTTACACAAATGTTCAGTAGCATAATTTATTATAGCCAAAATGTGACTATTACTCAAATGTCCATCAGCTGATGGATGGATAAACAAAAAGAAGTATTCCATACAATGGAATATTATTCCTCCATAAAAAGAAATGAAATGTTGATGTATTCTGTAATATGGATGAATCTTGAAAATGTTATGCTGAGTAAAATAAGCCAGACACAAAAGACCACATATTGTATAATTCTATTTATATGAAATGTCCAGAACAGGAAAATTTGTAGAGACATAAAATAGGTTAGTAGTTGCCAGGGGGTGGGATATGGGAGGAATTAAGACTAACTGAAACTAGTGCAGGGATTCTTTTTGAGGTGATGAATGTTCTGGAATTAGCATAGTTAATTGAATACACTAACAACTACTGAAATGTATACTTTAAAATGATGAGTTTTATGTTCTGTGAATTATATTTCATTTTTTAAAATAGAGGCTGTGAGTGTAGCTCAGCTGTAGATCACATGATTAGCATGCTTGACATCTTGGTTCAATCCCCAACACTCACACACCCCCAATTTAAAAAGGAGCTGAAACTAAGCTAGAAAAAAAATGTCAAAAATCTTATGATATTGGGTTAGACAGCAAGTAAGGAAGTGAAAAACCTCTATAAAGAAAACTATTGTACTCTGAAAAAGGATATTGAAGAGGATATCAGAAAATGGATATTCCTGTTCTTGGATAGGTAGAACCATTGTAGTCAAAATGGCCATACTTCTAAAACTGATACACAGATTTGATGCAGTTCCAATCAAAACACAAAAAGCATTTTTCACAGAACTAAAGAACTGTAAAAACTCAAATAGTAAAAAGCTAAATAATACAATTTAAAAATAGGCACAAGACCTGTATACTTCACAAAGAGAATACACTGATTGGGCTGGGGATTTAGCTCAGTAGTTCTGGTGCCTGCCTCGAAAACCCAAGGTCCCGAGTTCGATCCTCAGTACCAAAAAAAAAAAAAAGTAAAAGAAATGTGTGGAGAATACACTGATGGTAAATAAGCACATTAAATGATATTCAGCATCCTAAACCATTAAAACAATACAAATCAAAACCACAGTGAGATATAATTATACCCCTATTGGAATGGCTAGAATAAAATCCACTGATAATAACAAGTGCTGACAAAGACAGATCATCTGAGACTTATATGTTGTTGTTGCTAATATGAAATGGGACAGTCATCCTGGAAAAGTTTGGTAGTTCCTTAGAAAGTGAAATGTACACTTACTATGTGACCTAGCAATCACATTCCTAGTTCTTACCCTAGAAAAATGAAAATTTATGTTTACACAAAGTCTATACACAAATGATTATAGCACTGAATATTAAAACCAGAAACAGTCCAATGGATGAACAAATTGTGGTGTATTCATATAATGCATTGTTAGATAATAAAAAGTGAGCTATCATTACCTGCATCAATTTAGATGAACCTCAAAGACATTACGTTGAGAGAAAAAAAAAGCCAGTCTCAAAAGGTTACATAGTAGGGCCTGGGGATTTAGCTCAGTGGGTCTGGCACCTGCCTCGAAAGCGCAAGGTTCCAAGTTCAATCCCTGGTACCAAAAAAAAAAAAAAAAAGGTTACATAGTACATGATTCTATTTTATTACATTACATTCCTCAAAACACAGCTATAACAGTAGAAAGCTGGTCAGTGATTGCTAGGGGTTATGGCTGGGGGCTGTAAAGCAATAGCATGAAGCAGTTTTTTGGGGTGATACAGCTATTATGTACCTTGATAATACTTGTGATTGCACAAATCTGTACATGTGTTAACATTTATAGATCTATATGCTGAAATACAATACTATATGTTAATACAAAAGATGAAATACAAATTTTAAATGGGGCTTCTAATAAGTTTGCTATGAGTATTTGCTATAAAGCACTTGCTACCTGTCATGTAGTAAATAATCAAAATGTTTAAGTATTATTATTAATGTTTCAAGTTTATGGGATTTTTCTCCCCTTAAAACTTAATTAAGGGGCTGGGGATATAGCTCAGTGGCACCTCACCTGCCTCACAAGCTCAAAGTTCTGAGTTCAATCCCTGGCACCAGAAAAAAAAAAAAGAAAAACTTAATTATATACAGTAGAAATGCAAACATTAAAATGGGATGTTCATTGACAGGGGAATACTTTCATGGTGTGTGGTGGTGTGTAGCTCCTCATCAGCCTGGAATCAAGTGTTGGTAGAGTGGGACCAGGAAAAGGTCCCAGGGGAAGGGTGGGCCCGGGAAGATGAAGCTGATTGTTGGGAGCCAACCCTGCCAGGCTCCTTCAGGCCATCTGACAACACTCACCATGTGCTACTTGTCTGTCATGGCAGTTTGCTGGGATGGAGTCAGGCTATGCTTGCTTCTGTGGGAACAACCCTGATTACTGGAAGTACGGGGAGGCAGCCAGCACCGAGTGCAACAGCGTTTGCTTCGGGGATCACACCCAGCCCTGTGGGGGTGATGGCAGGATCATCCTCTTTGATAGTGAGTATGTCTTGTGCCTGTCACTACCTAAAACACAGAACTCTTGGACCAGGGTAGCAGACCCTTCCTTCCTTCCTCCCTTTCTCCATCCCCCCCATCCCTTCCTCCATCCTTCCCTCCCTTCCTCTCTCCTTTCCTCCCTCCCATGTATTCATTCATTCACTTTTCAGTACTTATGGAGCACCAGATAGCCCAGGCACTGCCCAGACCCTGGGGATACAGCACAAACATGCAAACTCAGCCTCTCCTCCAAAAGGAAGAATGAATGTTTAACAAGTGATAGGCTACAGTTGTACCAAGTGCTTTGAGGTGGCATGGCCTATTGTGACCTGCTTAGGAAATCTAGAAAAGATAAGTCTTCCAATTTTACATAGACATGGATATAACTGTTCAGTATCAGCTTTAATATCTTGTTTTAATACAATTTCCAAGCCTGATTAGTGTGTTTTCAGGCAGTTGGGGTTTATATTGGGGATTTATGCCCAATTTATACTGTGATGCATCTTGGAATATAGTATATTCTTTGAGTTGTTTTTCCAGGGCTCAGGTTGAGTTTGCCCTGACCCACCTCCTCTCTGACTTGCTCCATTTGTGACAAGCCAGCCAGGGGCAGAGTCTGTTCTGAATGGGGTATGATCCCAGCATTGATCTTTCCAGTACCAAGTTCTCACCCCTCAGCCCCCGAGTCCTCATTGTAACCCACTCATACCTTCTCAGTGGTCGTGAGACTTTATAAGAATCACAGTACCAATGCAGCACCCTATTTTTTTTCTGGTACTGGGGATCAAACTCAGGACCTTGTGCTTGGAAGGCAGGCACAGTGCCACTGAGCTAAATCCCTGGCCCAAGCACTGTATTTTAAGATAGAAAGGAGAGGGCTGGGGATTTCGCTCAGTGGTTTCACCACCTGCTGCACAAGTGCAAGGACCCGAGTTTGATCCCCGGTACCAAAAAAAAAAAAAGATAGGAGAGTCACAAATGAGGCAGACAAAGGAAAAAGGTTTGAGATTACTATGAAAGTGTCCATAGTGTCTTTTTTTGGTACTTAAGAGGAGATGGATTCCTGACATCTCCACCAGGTAGAGTGGTTCAGTTTTGAGCAAAAGTACAGCATGGTATATTAGTTTCCTAGGGCCATCGTAACAAAGTATCACAAAATGAGTGGTTTGAAATAACAAATTTATTCTTTTATAGTTCTGGAGGCCAGAGGCCCCACATGAAGGTGTCAGTAGGTCTGTGCTCTCTTTGAAGGCTCCAGAGAAGCTTTCCTAGCCTTGGGTGTTTGCCAACAATCCCTGCATTTGTTGACTTATAGCTGCATCACTCCATCTCTGTTTTCTTCACACAGCCATATTCCTCAGTGTACATCCATGTCTTACTGCTTCCTTGTAAAGACACCAGTCATTGATTTTAGAGCCCACCATAATCTAGTATGACCTCATCTTAACTTCATTTACATCTATAAAGACCTTGTATCTAAATGAGGTCATATTTACAGATATCAGGTGTTAGAGTTTGAACATATCTTTTTGGGGGGGCACAAGTAACCACTACTTATGGTGACTATACATCCCAGCCCAGATTTATAACTGAGCCTTTACAAGTTCTAACTTAGATATTGTCTAAAGTATATGGATATTTGTGGTTTGGAGAAAGGGTGAGAAGACTTGTGTGGTCAATTTTTTTTTTTGGTACCAGGGATCAAACTCGGGTCCTTGAGCTTGCGCAGCAGGCAGCGAAGCCACTGAGCTAAATTCCCCGCCCTCATGTGGTCAATTATTGATCTTTTAACCAAGTGTACCCCTTGGAGACTGCTGATAACTTCCTATACATTTTAGAATGTCATGTCAAGACAAATGTTCTGTTGTGGCAAACACTGAACCATGGCTAATGTTTAAGGAAACTTGCTAATGTTTAGTTGGCAAATACCTATGCACTACACATCATCGTAGAGTTCATCAAGGTAAGATTCTGTACCTTGACACCTTAACCCAAGAGAGTATGTTTGCTGAGCTTATGAAATTCCTGGTATAGCATTAAGCAAAAAAAGAGAAGAAGTAAACATTTCTTGAGTACCCTGTATGTATTGAGGTTTCCTATAATCACCTTAGTCTTCCTGGTAGCTACCAAGGTAGATTTTGTTATGATGACTGTTGGTTTGTAGAAGAGACCCATGGAGAAGGTCAGTCACTTGCCAGAATTCACATTTCCTGGAAGCCATTGGATTAGTGAGGAAACAGGAGCAGAGTTTGTGGGTCTGCTACCTGTTTTTCTACTTTAAATCAAATATAGTATTAATTAAAAGATGGAAAATGGAAAGCAACTTGGGGGTAAAGATATGGAGAAATTGGAACCCTCCTACATGCTGATTGAAGTATAAAAGGATGTAGCTGCTCTATAAAGTCTGGCAATTCCTCAAAATGTGAAACATTATTACCTAATAAGCCAGCAATTCCATTCCTAGGCAGATCCTCAAGAAAGTTGAAAATATATGTTCACCAAAAATTATACATGAATGTTCATAGCAACATTATTCATAATGGCCAAAATGCAGCAACCCAGATGTCCATTAGCTAATGCATTGACAAAGAAAATGTGGTATATTTATATGGTGAAATATTACTCAGTCATGAAAATACGTGAAGTCCTGATACATGCCACAACATACATGATCTTTAAAAGTGTTACTCTAAATGAAAAAAACAGATGCAAAGGGCCGCATATTATAGGATTCCATTTATTTAGTGTCCAGACTAGGAAAAGCCATATGAACGGCAGATATGTGGTTACCAAGGGCTAAGGAAAAGAGGTAAATGGGGAGTGACTGCTTAATGGGTACAGATTTTCAGTTTTTGATGGTGAAATGTTCTGGAGTTAGAGAGCAGTAAAAGTTACTCAACATTATGAATATACCAGATACCACTGAATTGTATACATTAAAATTGTTAAAATGGTAAATTTTTGATCAACAGAAAAGTTGATCAAAAACTATAGTTTTTTTTTTGTTTGTTTGTTTTTTGGTACCGGGGCTCGGTCTCGGGTCCTTGCACTTGCGCAGCAGGCAGCGAAACCACTGAGCTAAATCCCCGGCCCAAAAACTATAGTTTTTATAGGACAGTCTTTAGCACATTTTATTCAGCATCTGTTATGTGGCAAATAAAATTGTGTTTTATGTAGTATAGTGTCTTTCTTAGAGATGCCAAATAGAAATCATTTGGTTTAAAGTCAGACACATAGTGAATATCATCTTTGGTACTGGAAGTACATCTAGGAGGTAAAAATGAATTAGTTATAATGAAAATAGTTGCATTTACTGAGTGCTTGTTGTGCATGAGACTTGATCCTGAGTGATTTTATATATTTTATGTTATTTAATCCTTACAACAACCCTATTGATAAGAAAACTGCAGATCAAAAGATGAAGTAAATTGTCCCAGCTAGTAAGCACCACAGCCAAGATTCCAACCCAGGGTTTTTTCTTCCCTAGTTATTTTTTAAATTAGCATATGTTTGCAGTACATAATAGTTGTTCATCTTGGAGAATTGGTACATGCATGTAACATATCTTGGTTATTTTCTATGTTTCTACTCCTCTCCTTTACTTCCTCCTCCCTATGATCCCTTTTTCTAGTGCCAACAAGTCTGCATTCTTATTTCCCATAATTTCTTTATTTTAATTAATTAATTAATTTATATTTTAGGTTTCTCCTATAAGAGAAAAAATGAGATATGTAGCTTACTTCTCTTAGCATTATGATCTCAAGTTCTAGCCATTTTCCTGCAAGTGACATGATTTCATTCTTCTTTATAGCTGAACAATATTCTACTGTGTATATATATACCACATTTTCTTTATCTGTTCATCTGTTGATGGGCATTTAGGTTGTTTCCGGAGCTTAGCTAAGGCACAGTCTTAATTTTCTATTTTCAGCAGCTAGAATTTCTTTTTTTTGGTTTTTTTTTTTGGTACCGCGGATCGAACTCGGGTCCTTGAGCTTGCACAGCAGGGGGCAGAACCACTGAGCTAAATCCCCGGCCCTAGAATTTCTTTTATTAATAAGAATAAACTAGGGCCGGATATTTAGCTCAGTGGTTCCAGCGCATGCCTTGCAAGCGCAAGGTGCTGAGTTCGATCCCTGGTACCAAAAAAAAGGGCAGGGGGATTTAGCTCAGTGGCACCGCACCTGCCTGGCAAGCACAAGGTCCTGAGTTCAATCCCTGGTTTTGCAAAAAAATAAATAAATAAACTAGATCATAATAACTGATCCAAAAGTCTGAACAGAATATGTCTGCACCCAGACATATTATCAAATCAGCTCTTCATGCAGTGCTGCAGAAGCTACCCTCTCTTTTTTTTTCATACTAGCAAAATACTTTTATTATTTTTATAATGATAAAACAAGGAAAGTAAAAACTTCTATTTGGTGTATCAGAGTTAAGGGAAGTAGAAGAATAAGGGGACTAATAGGATTTTTATGTACTTACAATGACCATAAAAAGTTAACAATACCAATGTTTTGCCATAAAACTTGTAATAGTGCCCCCAAAGCAGTCCCCTTTATATAAAGGATCATAGTTTAAAAATCTGTAAAAGTAGAAAAAATACACAGTTGGAAGCTCTAATGCTTATTCCATCTTCAGTATAAAATTATAAACATTTATTTACACAGAGCATATGTGTATATCAAAGGTCTAAGTACCATTTTCTTTTGAGTCTTGGCTCTAAGAAGAAGATGATGTGCACAGTAGTAGTCATCTCCTCCCCTGACTCCCCAAATCCAGATTCATAAATAAAGCTTTGGGCAGCTCTCTGGAGAACCCCAAGAATCACATTTTATTGCTCTGATACTGCAGCAAGTGAGGAGCCCACTGTGTGTAGCCAGCCTGGGACTAAAGCTAGCTACAGAGGATGTTAAGTACCTTGGGGGACAGAGGCAAGAGGCAGGCAGCAGCCCAGGGAGATCAGGAGAGGAACCAGGATCCAAAACCAGCCTTTGTGC